GAGTCGAAGCTTTCGACTGTCTTTTCCGCGGGGGCATGGTCCTAGGTGCCCTGCGCTGTAGACCTAGTGGACCTTCTTTGAGCACAGAGTCTTGCCAGGGCGTAAGGTCAGACATTTATCTCAGCAATGCACAAGGACTGGCTAAGTGCTGGGCTCGACAGTGGGGCCTGTGCAGCAATATAGGAACGGAGAGACATTGGGTGAGCTAAGTGCTGTCATGGATTCAGGGCAGATTGTTTTAGTTGAGACTGTTGGCTCGGTCGACGGCGCGCAGCTGTGAGAGCATGGCTGCGTTTTACCTGCAGGAGGAGACCTCACTTGCTGGTCGCAAAATGTCGAGCTCTATCCTGCTCAAAGCTACCAGTACCTGGAGCGGGCTTGTTGCACCGCCCAGGAGTCTCTACACCCGAAACAGCAGTGCCACAGATGTCCCGGCTTGTGTCGAACACATGGAGCACTGTGGCATTGGTCGCAGCCTGCTCCGCATGATGACTGTGGTGGCGGAGGTGCCGTTGCCTTGACCAGAGCTTGGGCTACATTGGCCTGGCTTGTCGTCGTCTGGGTGTGAATGCCAGGGGTGTTCTCAATGGCAAGAATCGTGCCCTCCGGGTTGGTTGCCATGGCGTGGTGATGATGGAGGAACTGTCAGTACTGATCAATATGAGCAGAACGGCTGATGCGAGCTAAGTCAGGGCTTCGGTCAGGCACATAGCGGAAAAGAAGTTCCTCAGCTTGTAAGTAATGCGAAGCCTGCGGTGTGGCTCGCTCTGGTCGACGGCTGGCGTAAGTGAAGCTCGGCCTCAGTTGTAATGGGAGAAAGGCAGTTCGATGCAATAGTGAGGCTTGACGTATGGTGCAGAGAAAGACTTTTCCCGGCAGGCACGGTGCGCGCGAGGCGGCTGAGAAGGGAGAAAAACGGTCTGACGCATCAGCGCCCTCTTTCTCTCAGGAGGGGACCTCTACACGAGAGAAAGAGGGTTGTCTGAGGCTAAGTGACTAGCTTGATCCTCCAGGAAGACAAGGGGGCCTTGGACAGCTCAGGAGGGGACCTCGACTCGGGTGTCCTGGAAAACCTTAGCCCTCGTTGCCTCCTGTGCGCAGCGCTTCTAGCTGATCGCGGAGGGTCTGCATCTGTGGGGACCGTCTTAGGCCCTCCCTGCGCATGGTGACCCCAACTAGGTTCCAGATTGAGTTGTTCGCTAGAAGTCGAAAGGCGTGCATTGCCTCGTGGTCGTCTCCGATGGTCAGGGCCAGTTCCAGGAGGAAGGCTATGACCGGCCTTTCTTCCGTCAGGTTGGCTCGCAGCGGTCTGGACGGCCTGAACTTGGTGAGCTGTTCTTGATCTAGCTTGAGCATAGCCGCCAGGTGGGTGGAGACAACCTTGGGCGAGAGAGGAGGGCGTTGGGCATCGATGACTACCTTCCGCTGTTTGGCGTCCCATCTCATGTAGTTCCAGTAGAAGGCAGGGTTCTCGTCCGTGTGGTGTCGACCTCGGGAGGCAAGTGCTCCTGGTAGAGAGATAAGTGCTGATTCCTTGTCCTGGTTCGTGCTGTCATAGGCGATGTGATCGAAGCCCTGGGCTCGAGTGTGCAGCTCGTGAAGGAGACCAAGGAACAGGGCGTGGCGAACAGGCGTTCCAGGGGGGTCCTGGGGCTGGTCCGACTTCCACTGTTGCTGGATCCGTGCCAAGGAGGGAACCACACTGTTCGCTTGGTGCACGGTGGCGTAGAAGATCCATCCATGATGGTATCGCAAGGCTGTCAGTTCATCCTCGTGATTCAGCAGGGCCAAGATGATGCTAGCCAAGAGGTCAGCGGTTGGTTTGACCTCCTGCTTTGATTTCTGCGGACCGTTTTGCGAGGCCCTTGGTCTGGAGCCATTACGGCGACCAGTCCTCCTGGGCCTCCTGGACGGTGAGGGCAATCGAGTCGGCGGCATTTCCTCGTCCTGCTCCAGATCCTTTTGCTGACGGCGCTGTTTGGGAGGCCTGTCCCTGTCGTGAGCAGGGACCAGTTCTCTGGACGTTGAACGCTCATCAGGGCCAAATGCCCGCGCAGCCATGGATGAAGCGGCAAGATGGGGGAGGTTCTTAAAGAGCACTTGGCATAGTGCAGGGTTGTTCAGCAGCTCCTGCTGGGCTTGCTCCATAGCGCTTGGGGAGGACACGCATGGTAGCACAAGTGAAAGCACTGCCCTTTCACCTTCAGGAGGGGACCTCACACGAAGATGAATGGGACTTAACTTAAGCGTTGGAGGAGCAAAAGGTAAGCTCCTGACCCGATCTGTGCGCATTCCTCGCTCGTAGGCGAGAAGCCTGGGCTGGAGTCATCACCTACCTGCAGAGAGGGGAGCAAGGTGAAGGATCTGTAATGACCTGAGGTGGCTTCCTGCCCTATGTGAAAGAGTCCCGAGACGGATCTGTAGCGAACAAAGGATTGAGAGTGAGGCCCTGTCCACGCAGGCAGCTGTACTTCGTCCTGCAATCCCGTGAGTCTCCAGTGCTGCTTCGCTCCGGCATTTGTGAACCTTGGCAGAGACACAAAGATATAAGGAGGTGTATACAACAGTGCCGCCTTCGAATCATGCGGAGAGTGCCACTCGTGCACAAAAAAGGACAGTGAATAGGCTAAGTTGGTCGCCGCCTGAGAGTCAGGTTGGGACAGCCTGGTCGGGTCGGTGCCTTCCGGGAAGGTTAGTAGAATGGGGGAGAAGCCAGTTGAGTCGGGTATGTCTGCATCATAGACTCGCTTCCAGGGGGTACCTTGTAAGGAGCCATGGTGGTTAGCCAACAAAAACGTCAAGTACTCGAGTGCATCGCTTTGCCTATTAGCAAGCCTCCAGTCTGGATGACAATGTGGGAGCGATTCTAGTGCGAGAATAGAGACTGGGTGCGAGGCCCTTGCTCGAAGTTCCCGCTGGAGAGGCTGAAGGTTCGACCAGTCCACTGAGGGTTCTTCCCTCAGAGCGCTAATCATCTGCAAGACTGAAATGGCGTAGCACAAGTTATGAGGATTAATCAACTGTGGCATAGGCTGAGCTGCAGGAGGCGGTGGCGGAGGAGAGGCATCCAGGTCTGTCGGTGCTGGCGGAGGAGGTCCTGCGCCCGGCTGTGCGGCCTGGGAGGCACTCCCTGGGCGAAACCATCTCTGAAGCTGGCTTTGCTTGGACCTGGAATTGGGAGCCTGCAGGGTCCGCTGTTGGAACGTCTTTGGTTGGGGGGTAGCCTGTGTGGGAGATGCGTGTTGGTGTGATGTTGTCGTGCTCGGCCCTGGGGTAGGGACCGCAGGAGGAGACACGCCAGCCCCAGAAGTGGGGGGCGAGAGATGTGAGAGCTGAGTGTGTTGGAGGGATGAGTGCATTCTGGAGAGAGGGGCGTCAGGGTGCAGAAAGAAGAAGAGTTGTAATTGCTGAATGACCGGACACTGCTTCGTGTGTCGGGGGGCGCTCTCCACTTTAACTCCACAGGCAGGACAGGGTGACAGGCGGGTCAGCACATACATCTTTGAGGTGTTATTCCCCGCAGAGGCCTTATAAGAGTCCCATTCTGCCCCGTGTTTCTTTGTGAGGTGGAAGGCTATTTTTGTCGTGGAGGCTATCCACGAGTCGCAGAGCAGACAGGTCCTGGTGAGTTGCTGGCCAAGGTGGCCGGTGAGGAGCTCGAGGAAGGTCTGGGTTCCAGCCTGTTGCAGCAGTTCGGTGCGCATGCGCGAAATGAGAGGCACTGTGTCCATCTGCAGGGTTAGCTGGACCGAGGGTGCGGCAGTAGCACGGCAATCTGACGAGGGCACGAGCTCCTGGCTGGAGGAGACCTCACTCGCCTTGGGAGGAGCTTCGTCAGCCTGAGTGGGCGCCTCAGGTCTAGAAAGCTTGAAACCAGCCTGTCGGCAGACTCTGCGCTCAACGTGCTGTTGTAGATTATGCCAGTTTTTAAATTTCGCCTGGCAGTGCGAGCATTGAGGCAGGCCTCCCACGGAGTGCTTTAGGCGTGAGAATTCAAGGGGTGGCAGAACAGGAGCCGGATGCTTGACTGTCCGGTGTGTTCTCAGGCCCGCCGCAGTACGAAATACCTTGCCACAGCATGTGTGCATGGGCACGTCCGGAGAAGGGTCATTGTCGGCCTCCCTGAGCAGCTTGCTGTAAGAGGCTACAATTTCCTCCGCCGTTTGCAGGGTGGAGGGAATAGTTAAGATATCCTCATGTGGCCAGGCGCCGGACTGAGTGAGGAGCGAAGAGCTCGCGTTGGCCGGCGTGGATGTTGAGCAGGAGGTGACCTCACTCGCTGGGGCTGCATTCCGGCGCTTGCGGAGAGAGTCTAGGCGCTGGGCGGAGCGATCATGAAGCTGCTGAATGGGAGAGACAAGTTTCAGACGTGCAAAAAGCGCTGCTGTAGTTTCACGAGTCTTATGCACAGGGTTGTGCGTTACCGCTCGCACCTGTCTGGCATGCCATGAGCGGAGAGCCCTTGCCCGCCTGCCTGAGAGACCAACGGATTCCAGGCCAAAAGTGGCCGTGGACCAGACGGCGGCCCTCCAGACAAGCAGCCTAGATGCGGTTTTTGTCCTGCGCTTATTGTGAATGAATTTACGCACTGTCTGCTTTTTCTTCGCCGCTCTCTCTTGTCTTAGGGAATAGGTAAGATCTTCCGGGTTTGAGTAGCTGACCATGACCCCTAGATACTTGAAGGAGTCTACCAGCTCGAAGGAAGGAAGAGAGGGGAGAGGGGGAAGAACTGAGGAATTCGAAAGCAGAATTGGCCGTCTTGGCTGCTCTGGTGCATCTATATTCCAGACCGTGACCTTCCGGCCTGAGCGAAGCTCCTGTGACTTGAAGAGCTTCTTGGCCTGCTGTGCGTGGCGACCTGCCAGTTTGACCATGATGTTGCACTTGGCGTAATTCACTTCTAGTCCGGCTTCTTGCAGGTAGTGCAGTAACAGTCTGACCATGTCATGAGCCGCATAGAGATCAGACCAGTTGTGGATGTCTCGGTGAATGACGAGGTCATCTGCGAAGCCTGTGAGGAACTGCTGTATGGGAGGGAACCCTATGTGGGTGGCCATAAGCCGGAACGCCTCCGTGATAACCAGGGAGAAGAGAGAAGGGGCCAGTTTGCATCCTTGCTTTATTCCTCTTGTGGAGGTTACTGTTTCCTGGCTTCGTCCGTAGCGCAGATTATACTGGGCCTCCCTGTGGAGGGATGCGACCAGCTCGACGTCTTCGGGTGAGGCTCCGTAAGTAATTAGTGAGCGCAAGAGAGCCTCTCTGCTTGTTTTGTCAAAAGCTTGAGAGAGATCTAATGAGAAGGTGAAGCCTCCGATTAGATCCGGCTTGCCCTTCGTGCGCTTGGAAGTGCAGAACCTGTCTGGTGCTCGGGATCGAAGCATGGCACGGACACGCCTTGCGTGGCCAATTACCCGGAGTTGGGCATCGGCGATACCGCGTCCTGGAATGTAGGCAAATTGAGGGGAGGCAAAGTGGGCCTTCTTAAAGAGGGGGTCGAGCCTTCTCCTAGCCCCAGAGGCTATGCCTTTGCCATCTGGCCTAATGATGCCCAGCGGTCGCAGGTTTTCCGGCTTAGAGGCAGGTTTAGAGGGCTTGGGTATGAAGCTAAGGTCTGCTGACTTGGCCGTTATGGGCAGCGAGGGTGGCTCGGCTGGATTCAGTGTTGCTGTGTTATGCTGAGGCTCGCGCTTCCCTTGGCAGGAGGTGACCTCGCACGCCTGATGGGTCGGAGCGGGAGGCGGAGGCACCGCTTCGAGATAGTCACAGTAGTTATTGGCCACAGTGGAAGCACAAAGGCGGTACATGGATGCGGGGGCAGATCCTTGCGGTACTGCCTTTTCCGGCTTTATTGAGGCTATGCCTTTGGACAAACTGCTTTTGTCCAGCTTGGGCAAGGGTTGGCCTACGCCACTGGCTAGGGGGGGATGCGAGGAGAAGATGGAAAGACTATGTCTCTTTAACTCTGCTAGTCCCTCAGGCTCGGTTAGGATGCGGCCGCATGGCGATCTGAGGCAGACTCTAGGTGCAGGAGACCAAGGAGCTACATGCTTTAAGGAGCGATATGCCGCATGTGGATCTCGTTTGACCTTCTCAGAAATCTCTGTCAAAGTACGATGAGTTCTTTCTCGGGCCTGATTCTTTATCTGGATGGCATGTGCCTTGGCTGCCTCGTCTAGCGAGCGCTGAGCCTGTTTGAGGTGCTCGGTGCGAGCCATCTTATTTATGACGTCATCCTCACGTTTTAGGTTCCGCAGTGCAGTCTGCCGATGGTTATGAAGCCGCCACAGAGGTTGTGCTGTCGGAGCTGCGTCCAAGCTGCCTTCTTCTGGGTCCCTCGGCTGGAAAGTCTTGGCGTGTTCGAGAAGAAGCTCGTTGACCTCATCAGGGTGAAGAGGCTCGCCATTCTTCTGCGCTCGGAGTTTGTCGACATCCTGTGCAACTTGCTCCCGCAGGGTTTGAGCCAGAGGAGTGTTTTGTCTAACATGGTGAGCCAGTAGGGACTTTTGTTTGGAAGGGACTGCCGGTTGAGTTTTGGTCGAGAACGGGTGTCTCCAGACCTTCTTGAGGGGTACTGCTGTTCTGAGTGGCATGTGTTTGCCACCTTTGCGCCATGCTCCCAGCTTAAAGTCTTTGAGGATACACACTTTTCGGGCCAGCTGAGCAGCGTAGAACTTGGAGGTCAAGAGGAAATCTATCTGAGAGCTGCCCTGTGGCGAGATGAAGGTGTTTGCCTTGCGCCCCTGCCATGTGTTAAGCGCAACTAGGGAGTTTCGCTGAAGAAACTTCTGGAACTGTTTTTGGACCGGCTTGTGCTTAGAAGATCCTGCTGGTACCACTCCCCCTACGAAGGGGGGATTTGGTTTTAGGGAAGAGTTGAAATCGCCCGCCAGTACCGGAACAGTGCGCTGCGACAAGTTGGAAAGGGACTTGCTTAGGGAAGAGAGTACTTTGCTTTGAGTGGCATAGTGGTCCTGCTCCGTCATGCCTCGTTGCTTGGTGTACTGGTAGCAGTTTAGCAGGAGCACTGGATGGCCTCGGATTTCGCAGTGAACCTCGTGAGCACGGCCTGGGTGTAGATCCTGCCAGCGTAGTGTCGCTGAGTCTATACTAGGCGATAGTAGAGTGAGAACACCTGCAGAGCGCCTGTGCTTTGGCTGTTCGGGTAGCTGGGATTTTTGAGCGGGAGGAGACCTCACGAGCTCTTCTTCCGGCAGCCCGCCTGAAACAGCCGTCCAGCCATGGACTTTAAACTGGGAGGATGTAGTCCAGTGAGTTTCCTGGATAAAGATAACATCGAGGTCCTGCTGATTTTGCAGCCACTCCTTGAACTCTGCCCACAATTGCTGGCTTAATCCACCTGCATTCCACGAGAAAACTCGCAGTGGTTTGGCTTCGCGACCGCCTCTGGGGTGACGCCTGCGCGGTTGCCTAAGAGGAAGCTGCGGTGCAAATTGAGCTTGCATGTTTTCCTTAGTCTCTTGGCTTGCACTAAGTGCAGCC